GCAATTTTACCCTGTAATTATAGAAAAAAAATGTTTCAGCACCTATACTTTTTCCTCATGTTTTTGCCTTGTTTTGTTCATTTGCGCCAAAATGTCTGCATTATAACTTAAGCGCTTACATCACAGCGGGTCGGTAAAAACAGGGATTGTCGGAGCAATGGCGACTTGAATGCGGAATAATATCCCAACTATGTCCTTTATTTTGGCCTATATTTTGAATGATAACAGAAAAAGCCTATTGGATACATAGCAGCGATGAAATCAAAAGTGCAAATTTTAAATAATATAATTTTTTGTCATGAGACGCTTCCAGTGACGGCAGCTGTTTTTTTGGTCCCATCTGCCTCGGGACGACTGGGGGGAGAGTGGCAGCCTCCGTTTGAGCTCGTGTTAAAATAGGAACACAACATTTCTAGTGCTATCTCTGTACAACAACATTCAACGACACATTTCTTCTTTTTTTTTTTTTCCTTCAGTTTTTTTTTTCTTTTTAACATAATGTCCAAACAATAATCAATATAAGAAGAGCATTTTTCCATCTCAACGGCATTGGACGAACATCACAAAAACTGAAAAGGATATTCTAAGGACCATCTGGAAGGCCTCATCCAGTTTGTACTGGGGAGTTACGGACCAGAGGGAAGCAGAGAAAGCGACTGGGGGAAAATGGGAAGCGATTGTTTCATTAGTTTAGTGTCATTTTGGACAAGTTTGGCAGCTCAATTTTATATTTTATGTTAATTAAACAGAACTGGCTTTGGAAAGATGTCTTTAAAGGTGATGACGGCCACTTAAATTCAATTTGATGTTTAATATAATGTTTTTTTCTATCCATGGGACGCTGTGCCATTATATACAGTAAGTATTTTTCATATTTCATATCTTTCCCCTCTCCTCCACAACTACGACCAGTAAGATTTGCTGGTGCAGAACAGTTGGACCAATGACGAGGGGCCTGAAGATTTTGATTCATTAAGTCAATTAAGTGAAACACCACCATCTAGTGGTTGAAATGTGGAAAGTACAATCTGAGTTGAACTGAAGTAAGTAAGTAAGTTTTTATTTATATACCGCCTTTTCACTGCAGATCTGAGTCTCAAAGCGGTTTACAATTGTTAATTTTGGGCATTTGTCTCTCACTCCACACAGAGATGGGAGCGGGGTCGCCAGTACAGGAGGCGCATGCCAGAACTATTGGACATATTTTTAGTGGTAGGGGAAACCGGAGTACCCGGAGGAAACCTACGCAGACACGGGGAGAACATGCAAACTCCACTCAGAAAGGCCCTGGTCCGACCGGGATTCGAACCCAGGACCTTCTTGCTGAGAGGCGAGAGTGCTATCCACTCAGCCACCGTGCCGCCGCAATTTACAACTGAAGGCATGCAGTTGTAACAGTAACCGTTTTTCATGAGGAAATGTAACACGGTACAAAACTCAAAACAGATTTTATTACTGTATTTTTTTTCTTCTAAAATCATACAAAATACGGCTGTACTGTCATTTGTCTGCATCTAGTCTGGCTCCTATTTTCACGCTTCACTTCACGTGAGTACGAGAATGTTAAAGACATCTTTCCAAACCGCTCTGAAGACTTTGGTTTTTTTCAAATGTTAGTATCAAATCAATCTATGGTTTGAAAGGGTTGGGAAGTTCTTACTCATCATTAAAAATCCGTAGAATTGAGCAGGACCTTGACGCCTCAGAGAAAAACCAGGAGAGAGCAAAAAGAACACGGAATCACTGCATGTAACAGGTCAAGACCATTCAGTTTGTTGATAATGTTAAAATAGGTCACAATTTTAATACTATTCAATTTCTGTGTACGGTCTGTGATAAAATGCACTCAAAATCAAAATCTGTGTTTGTACTGGGACGAATGCTGTTTAACTGGGATATAAAAAAACGTTCATATCATAAATGTATTACAGGTTTGAACAACCATATCACAATAAAGAGGTTTCCAATAACTTGCAACCCTATTCACACGCCTTATTTAGCGTTAAAAAAAAGTTTTTATAATTTTAATGCGAATATTCCCAATTACCAACAAACCGATTCGTCTTGACGTCCAGTCTAATCTACTCTGAACAAAAGCGGGTTTAAAGTGAGTATAAGTGGAGAAAATAAGTGCTTTTGGTGAGTAGTATTTGTGTAACAGCAGAGGTGCGTGAACAGAAGAAAGGCACAGCGGCTTATACAGTAGTGGTAAAAATATGCGACGCCACCAACACACACAAATATCACTGTAAGAAACTAATAAGGTGCTAAAAGAAATAAAAAAAAACACATGAACGCACAGACTGTAAGGAGAACGTGGCTGAATCCCTCCAAAAGTAGTCACGAGGAGGGCTGCGTCGCTCAATACAAACAAATGCAAGATTTTTTTGGATGAATGTCAGATATAAACGAAAACATATCGTATCCAAGTGTTTTTCTTATTGGTTATTTAACCTTCATTTAACCAGGAAAGTCCCATTGAGGTTCAGAACTTCTTTTTCAAGGGAGTCCTGGACAGGTTCAGAGTCCTGGTTTTAGATGAATACATAGATGTTGTATGTAATATATTCATGTGGGGAAGGGCTATTGGCTAATATTGACTTTGTTTTTGACCAAAACAAAGCTCAAGTGAGGCCCCTGGAGAACCTCTTCATAGAGATGACTTCTGCAGACGTTATAGCAGTTGTTCAGTATATATAAGGTTCAAAAGTCTAAATGCGTAAATAAAACCTTATAAAAGCATCAGAAGTGCCTCGGACACTGTTATTATACCGCTTTTCTTAATCTTGTTTGTATTGAGAACGGTGCAGCCTTCGTCATTAAAGGGGGGCGTACACTTCAGCAGAGTCGGGGGTGTGGGGACGGATACATGTAGATAGCTTGTAGCTTGTTGCGCACTTAGAGTGTTCCAATAACTTTTCCGCCGCTCGTAAACACTATCATCTGAACATTCTTTAACAACCTGTTCAGCGGTTGGACACTTTCGTCATCCAAGGGGTTAAATGTATCGAGAAACCACAGCGTTACACATTAAAAAACATCAAAAACGAAAAACAGAAATGACACTTCCATCAATAAACGTTTGGTCTATCCATAGATTCAAAGGGGCACTTTTGTAACTTTTTGGAATGGGCATAAGATATCGTTTGCTTTGTGGATATGAACGTTCTTGGACTGGAATGTTCCGCGGCGTGGGATTAAGCTGATCCTTCAGAAGCTCTTACTTACAGTAAGAGATTCTCGAATAATACTGTACACTATCCAAAGGGGTGAGTTGGATTCCCTTTAGAGTTATATACTCTAGATTTAATAATCTAGAGTATATAATAATTTAATAACGTTTCTAGTAAAAAATGTCTCAAGTAGAAAGAGTGCGCTTTTGTTGTCGTGTGGCGTCAATATTCTGACTGTATAGCAAAAAGGGTCTTTGTGAATCCCAATATGGACTCAATGAAAGATACCAAATTCTGAAATTGCAGCAGAAGAGGGAGCATCTAAGTATCCGAGTATCAAAGAAGAAAAAACTGTGAAAGAGCAAATATATTAAATATGATTTTAGCATAGGGTTAAAAGTCTAGTCTGCACATTTTGTCTCCTAAGTTAACATATGCTAAAAAGAGAAGTAGCCAAAGGCAGAACCGGTATCAACGCTTAATTTCAAGCTGATATTTGACTTAATTTGCAATTATAATGAAGCTAGCCACAACTCCTATTTCAGACTTAGTTCAAGACAAAATGAGTGTGTTCCATTCTCACTCACTCATTTTTCATGGTTTTCTAGATTTTAACATTTTCAGACAAGCAGACAACGTACCTTCCTCTGGAAAAGTTACTCAGTGCCCCTTTAAATATAAAAAAACTACTTTGGAAACCTTGCACAGTGCTCTGTTTTCGACATTCCGACTAGTCTTAGCTCACACGGACAGTATAGTTAATATCACCTATATCCATAAGATTTCTGTACGCGCCTTAAAATAAAAGAAATGTCAGGTGGATTTGTTTTTCTTTCTCGTCTTTACAAAAGCTACACATTTTCTACTGGGATGTCTAAGCAGTTGTTAGTGTTTTAATGACGATGATAATAATAATAATAGTATTCTAACTTAGTCTTTTCTTATACAAAAGAGGGGACGGGATCTACGCGGCTTTCACACAGATGCCCCATTGAAATCACAGGGGCAGATATTAACTTCTCCAACGTACAAATACATGTTTCTGACAAAGGTTCAGCGTTTTGGAGTAGATTGTTTTGCGAGAAATGTTCTTACGTACTCCAATTTAAAAAAAAATCCTTCTTCTTTGTTTGCCTAAAGCGTTGGACGACCTTGCGTTGCCTTGACGATCACCGGCTCATTGTAAATACTCAATTCTGTGGGTTTTGTTTTAACCTTTGTCGAAACGCACTTCAATGCTGGTCGCGTGTCGAGCCGTATAGCTAATGGTATAACCTCTACAAAAACAAATGTAATAGTACTTATCGTAATAAAAGAACGAGCTAGCGAAAACACCAATGTCAAACAACTTAACCTAACTTGAAAATTTAACTGTGGAACGCACTTTTCTTTCATTTGCAGCTTAAAAGAAGAAGAAAAAATGCTTGTGAAGACAAAGAGGCAGCGAGATCTACTTGAACAATTCCTCACCAAGCTGGGTTAACGTCAGCTCTAAAGTAAATAGCTCATAAGTGATTGAAAACTGGGTGATTTCCCCAAATTTCAACCTAGCCTATTTGGAAGATATAAGTTAGGCCTATATGTTCACAGCTACGGTCCGTTCACGATATGCTTTTGAAGTCTAGGAATGCCTTTCGCTATTTAGAGTTCAAATACAAAATGCAATCCTTAAAAGTGGCGTCCTCGATCCATTGTGCTGAAGACAAGCACTACACTTGAGTGCTGACAGCAACGCTTTCCTTCTCACAGTAACAACAAGGGAATCTTCGTCCAATCCGACCATTTCTTTCCTCATGAAGCGGAGACTTTTCCAGACTCTCAGCGATGTTAATCCATTTCTTCATCGTCGTCCACGTTGGACATTGGTGCGGGGGATACACTCGCGGACATGGCCGTGTCTTGATCGTGTTCGGGTGAATTTTCCAAGCTGGTTTCATCCAAATTCTCGGCAAAATCCTGATCTTCAATGTCGTCTTCCATCTCCTTGAAATCCAATCCTACGTTTTCAGGTAGTTCGCCGTTTGTTGACCAATCATCCAAAGGCGCTCGGTGTTCCAAACTTCCTATATCTTTCCATAATCCTGGAGAATCCGGATTGGAAGCTTCCAACTTGGCAAACTTTGCGTCGCCGTCTTCGCTCAAAGCCACTGGCGAACTTCTTTTGCGTCTGGACTTACTGGTGTGGTTGACCTGCAGGTGCATCGTCATCAGCTCGGCCGATGACGTGCGGAACGGACAGAAAACGCATTCGCTAAGTTGGACGTCGCTTTGCTCGCTTTCCATATCCCCAAACGCCATCAAACCGTCTTCTTCTGGTCTCCTAGACAAATCCAGTGGTTCGAATTTCACCTCTGAAGCCTTTTCGCCGTCTTTCACCGGTTGCACCATTCGACTCGTGGTTAGCGGTTTGCGTCGAGACACTTTGGCTGCTTTTGGAGGAGGAGATTCTCTGATCCAGTTCCCTTCTTGGTAAAGAGTTCCCATCATTCCTGACAGGTAGCGGTACTGGCTTTCCAAATCCATGGCTTTGCGGTGGTCCGGTTGGTCGGGAAGTGACATGAGGCCGAACGTTTGCTGCTGATTGGTTGCGGACCTGGATGTAGGGGCGTCGGCAGCGGCACGGTTGATTGGTCCGTGGCTTTGCTGAGTCCTGCGCTGTTTAACGAGCAAAGAGGTCCCAGAGGCCAGGCTGCGGACACAGGAGGACAGTATTAACTTTTGTTTTTTAAATAATGGTAATTAAAGAGCTAAATACTTTGTCTTTTGATTTTGAAAAAGTTATTGGATTCTGGCATGAAACGCATGAACAGTATAAGAGAGAATAAGTATGAGAAAAAGTATCAGGCATAAAGATAACATAATGGGCAGTCAATTTACGAAATTTACGAAATTGCTTGTCATTTTAACATTGGTTTGAGTAATCCCTAAAATCTATATTCACCTAATAAAAATAAACATTACATTACTTACTTACTAATTAGTGCACCGTAAAACTTATCCAACCATCAAAATAGCAAAGAATTCGCAAATCAAATGTTTATTGCAATATGTATCTGAAAAAAGCACAGGTCATACTCGAGGCAACTGGTATGACAAGGCAAGTGCTTTAGAAAAGTTGAGCATTCTGACCTGTTGAGTCCCGCGCTGAGTCCAGACGTGGCGTTGGCGGCGGCGGCTAAAGCGTTCCTCTGCTCTCGGTGATGTCTCTGCAGGTGGTACTTCAGAGAGCCAGACTGAGTCCCCGCGTAGTCACAGTGTGGGCACTTGTATGGCCGCTCGCCTGGACACACAGCAGAGGGGGAGGGGAACACATCATATAAATACAGTATACACACTTTCTTACAGAGGAGACCGCATTAACATCAGTATTAGCATCAGCATCAGCATCAGCAGCTTCAGTATTTCAATTCGACATATTTGACATATTCGACACATCCAAAGAATCTATTTAGCCCCTTGACCTTTTGATTTTTTTAAACAGGTTTTGTGTATGCCTAGTCTTCCTGTTTTGAAATCAAAAGGTCCAGGGGCTAAACAGATTTTTGTGAATATTTAATCATAAAAAATCAACAAAAGGTATATTCAAATAATTAGCTTTGTTCCATGTGTGCGGACCCGGCAGGAAATGAAGACGGTAAAAGATCAAGGGGCTTAGTAGATTTTTTGAATGTGTTGAATATGTCAAATATTGAGTATAAAACTAACTTTACCGCAGTCAGCCTCGTGGTACTATTCCAAAGCCTCAATCCTGATTTCAGCATTAAAGACAATTAAACTAAATAAAAGACTTGTTGCTGCTAACTTTAGTAAATAGGTCATGGAAAAGTTTATTTATAGCACACTGCTGCATTCCAGAAAATACAGCACTGAGCCCAACTTTGATTTAAAAAATATGTATAATCTCCGGAAACGATAGTGCATGGATTCATCTGCAGTTTCGATTCTTGTTGTTTTTTTTGCATTTGAATCAAAATTCTGCTGTTGTTTGTATTAATCATCATAAAAGAATCACTATGAAAACAGTGTAGTCCTATTTCAGACTTGGTTTCTCTAAACTTGACTGAGAAAAGTCCTGTTTTTTATGTTAGTACTCGAACTGGCTTTGTTTTCGTACAGTTGGCAGGAGTTTGGAGGTAAAACCGTTTCATTGACACTCCTGGATCCTTTAATCAGACCAGCAGAAAGAAAATATATATTATTTTCTTTATTGCTCTTAGTTCACATTGATAGATAGAGAAACGCTTTATTCATCCCATGAGCGGAAACTCAAAAAAACCCAAAGTACATTTTATTTTTTTGACATTCAATCTCCTACATTCAAAGTCTTCATAAGAGTTTTGGAAAATTCAGAGTTTGAAGAGAGGACAGAGGCAAACCAGCTCTGTAGTAAAAAATATTCTTAATAAATAACTATAAACGTAGGTCTTGTGGACAGTATTCTCTAGTAAACTCGTCATCACTGAACAAACTTTCTTATTTTATTTTATTTTATTTTTGTATCACTAAACCCCTATGAGAGAATTTTTTTATTTTACTCAAACCTGGAGATAGGTGGGCCTTTTGCAGCTTCGTGCTAGTGTTTCACCAACAATCTCAGTGATTTAATACCAAACTAAATTACAGAAAGAATCCAAAATGTAGTATTTAACTGTTTTTCTCAACCTCAATTATTACCTAAAATAAAAGGCCAAAGGATACTGACTGAACCAAGAGATCAGACTGGACTAAAATTGAGAAAAAAACATTTATATATTGTATCTTGTTCGAAAATATCACCATTTCATTAGAACAAACCCATTTCAAATAAATATAAAACCTTAAAATGTCTTGTTTATTGTGACGTGCAGTTTCACACGTGACAGAGAGGTGGCAGTGTGACCTTATTTACACACAAGCAAAAAGGAGGTGGAGACATAGTGCAGGCATCAATATCACAAATTGTATTACACGTGAAATGCATTAATGAGCCTATTCAGAATAAAATTACCCTCTGAGGAAAATAATGTGATTTGATGCTTGGGCTAATCTTGAGTGCTTCTAAAATGCATGTATGGAAATGATGAAAAATGGCGCATTCTTGCCACAAAGAACAAATAGATTATGATTTGACTGATTGTGACGAGATGCAGTTAGTTTACGTTTGAAGCATGTTTGCAAACCGATGTATAGAAATATGAACAAAAAAAATATAATGAAAAAAAGAATAATAGAGAATTTAACACATGGACTGCAATTCTTTCTCTGTGATTAAAACATGAGTGCAGGATTTTGTTCTTGATTTAATTTGTGTTTTAAATGTTTTTTTCACTCGATTAACCTGTTTCTTGTTTTATTTCTTATTTGAAGCAACGGCAAATTACCCCATTGTGATTTGATGGACAAAAATGAGTGCGATTAGATTGGTGATTAAAAAAATGAGGACTATGACATGCAATTTCTCTCTACAAAGTCTACAGAAAAGGTGCCGTTTCTTCCATTGTGAAAAAATTATCATAAAGAAATTAGTGGTTTAGTGACAAATGGAGAATTCTGTTTGTAAAGTGAGGTGTGTGTCTAAGTTAGATTTGAAGAATATTGTGCTGTTTTGTCTGGGGGTTTTTTTTTGCGCTTTGAAAAAGGTCAACTTGGAAGCACTCGTAGAGCACAGACCTCCGCCAAGAAGCACAATATCATTCTAGGATCCAAAATCTACCTCCTTTGTCTCATGTATGTGCTTCACGGAAACAGATACACTCGGATGAATACATAACCCCCTGCTGAAGGCAATGATCACAGTTTTTTTAAATTTACAAAATGGTATCTCGGGGAATTGAGGTTTCAGTTCAATTCCAGAGTGCTGGCTTTAGTCCAAAGTAGTAAAATGTCTAAATTGGTCAGCCTTTTAGCTGGTAACACCTACACTCCATTGAAGTCAGTTCAAGTCTGACTGTATAATTCCACAGTGGGTCACTTTTAGCAGTATTACCTACAGTAATTCTGTTCTGAAGGCGACGTAAAGACATTTATTTTTGCATACAATACTTGTCCAATCAACTTTATCCTTGTACTCAGTGCACTTGTACATAGTGGTAATGTTAAGACATTTTATAATGAGGTTTTATGCAAGCCTTTTATCTAGTTCTACCTTTATAACTTTTCTGCACCTTGGGCCAAAGAAAATGAAATTTCTGTTACTTACAATGGCAATAAAAAATATTCTGGTATATAATACTATGTATATTTAATATATTGTAGCGCCCACTCATAGGTCCTTACCATGCGCTCACTCAGGAGGTGACATTCTTAACTTAACCACCAACCTTTATGAAAGTCGGATCTTGTCAGACCTCTGAAGCTAAGCAGGGCAAGGCCTGGATAGTGCTGTGATGGTAGATCAGGTCTGTTTTATGTTTCAATTTATATTATAATTATTGACTATTGAATGAGGGCTGATGGGCTGGTGCTCTGTGTGCTGGGTGGCATCTCTGGCCACCCCCCCGACCCAGAAATGGATTAAGGGGAAGAAAATGGATGGATGGATGGATGGACTATTGAATGAATGAACGAGTCTTTATTTGGACAATGAAAAATGATATAAATAAACAAAAAAACAAACAAAAAAACCTATACGTGTACAATGTATGTACAATTTGTTCCCTCAAGGAATAAATAAAATATACAATCATGTCCGAAAGGAAGCAGGAAGAAGTACAAACACTTATGTAACCCCGCCCCCTTTTCTACTTTAATTTAACAAAAAAAAGAAAAAAGAAAGCCCTTCCGACTTCCCTTTAACTACTTCAAGACTTCAAGATTATCCAACCAGATAGACTAAAACGACACAAGAAAATAATCAAAGCTGTGTATTAATACTACAATGCTTCTGTTGGATATCTACAAAATAACTGTCTTTTAAATATTGTTTTGAAATTATAAATATTATGGCAACGTTTTAAACCAGCTTCCATACGAAGCTGATGTTCTAGCAAATGGCACTTTGAAATTATGTGTTCCTCTTAAATTATAAACTCTTTCACTTTCACAATATTGAGAAAATATATAGATTTTGTTCAGTGTAGATGTGTAGTTCCAACTTTTAAACAGTTTTATAAACCAGGAAACTCGGCTTTAAAATTAACATCTTCCGTCCTCTTTCAATGACAAGTTACGACAAGACCTATAGAGTTTTATGAAATTGCATTCACACATATCACCAGGGGAACCAGGGCAATGCAACAGCCCCATTAACTCATCGGGCCATTCGTCAATTTAATTCTGACATCAGCTCTATAATGGAAACTCAAATGTGGCGACCTCTTTGACTGTCAGCCTCGGATTTAACCTAATTGTCTATGCCGTTGCCTAATTTTGGAGCAGAAATCGTTGAATTTTGAGTGAAGCTCATAATGGGGAATGACAGAAAAAGCATATGGCAAAAACACACATTCAATATTAATGGCGGCGTGAGCACTGTTGACAAATGAACGCGAAAAGAAATTAAAATGTAGCTGCACCGATTGCAAACAGTCTGCTTAATGATCCGCGCCTTCTATCCATCTCCACGTAGCGACCGAACCGCGGTTTGGACTTTCTATTGAAAAAAATGGGTTGTTCCAGCCACGGCGACTCCAGATGCATTTAAAGAACCAATAGTGGGCAGTATTTGTGGTCGTTTGTGTGCTTACAGCTGCTAATTGTCAAACCACAAAAAGATAAAAAATACTTGGTCTACTTGTCTAAAATCTATGTGTCTAGTTCCTCTTGCTTTCAAATCAGTTTGGTTCTCACAATTTTTCTCAGGCATGTTCTGGCCTCTGTTGCAGCTTTAGGGCAGTTTTTTTTGACAGAAAAGTGAAAAAAAGAGAGGACTAGCCCCACTCGGCCAATCAGCTCTCAACCCAAAGCGCCCAATAGTGCCTCACAGGGCTCTTTCTCACAGGTATGCAAAATATAACATGTTTTCTAATAGCATGAAGACGGTGTGTTGTTCTGGTCATCAGCCCTCGAGTTTGATGTAGAAAAGATATATTATGTTCTGAAAATTGCTACGCTGTCTAATTGTGTATATAGGAATTTTATCCCTCTTTACAATTAGGTTGTTTATATAAATTAGATAAATCCAAACAATCGATAAAGTGGTGCCACCTGCATGTGAAAACCAGATCCCGTCAGACCTCTGAAGCAAAGCAGGGCAGGACCTGGGTAGTACTGTGATGGGAAACCTTTAGGTACACCAGGCACTGGGCGGCTATGGCTGTAAAGTGCCATATTGTCGTTGTGTCCTTATATCAGGCAATGACACTTCACCCACATTGCGTAAATTGAATCTGGTGTGTATGTGAGTGTGTGTGTGTGTGTGTGTGAATGGCTGGTGGTGGTGGGAGGGGGCAAGGGCATATATCGGTTGCTTCGCTTCTGTCAGTGTGCCCCAGGGCAGCTCTGGCTACAGTAGTAGTTTATCACCTCCGTGTATGGAGTGAATGAATAATGCCGTGTGAAGCGTCTTTGAGTGTCCAAAAAATTTCTATATAAGCATTATTATTCAGGTAATATAAGCTTGCAGTTGTAATACTCCCAATTTGATGAAAAAGTACTAGACTCTACATCATTTTTAGCCAATAGCCACCTCCGTACTCCTCCAATAAAACTGCTTGTGTTGGAACAATGTGCTTGAGCGCATTACATTTTATATGTATTCCTGCAGGACAATGTAAAATGAGGTTTAGTAAGTGAACGGCAGTGCTTTTAACACACCCCGAGGCGCGCCACTTAAACTCCAGCCCCTGTGATACGAAGAGACTATGATTAGCACTGGACACCTCTCCCGGGCCCAGCACTAACTGTTTAAGGCACGAGGAGAGGCTGCTGCTCTGTAAAACACACGACGGATATGACTACGCGTTTCACTAATACATTGCTGAGAAGGGTATGTTCAAAACTTAAAATCTTTCCAGAAATGTGAAAGTTTGCGGATCAAATGAGAAAAAAAAAGTACCCCCACGTTGCCAACCCTGACCTATATGCCACCAAAACCCTAACCCTGCTTTTTTACTACATGCGTCAAATTTAAAGTTGAATAAAATCCAGCACTGTGTATATCTACACTTTAATCTTTAATGCAAAGAACGACAACAATTTTACTAAAACAAAGGACAGAGTGAAAACCTGCTTAACATGTGGCAGAAATGATGGAATTAACAAAGCATTATACAAACAACACCAAACAATTTCAAACAATTTCAAACAAAAACAGTGACCTTTTTTGGATAACTTTAAGAGAAAATAAATAAGGTGGCTCTGCTTATGACCTATACAGTAGATAACAATGTCACATTTCTCTATGACAGGTTGTATAGTAAGTTGTATAGTAAGAGGCAGCCACAAAGATGATTTACATTGTGTGTGTTATTCATTCATTTCAAACACAATGGTCGTAAGCTATAGCTGACCAGGGGCACTTTGCAGCACAGGTAGCGCCATCAGACCCATGTGACCATCACCCACCATGTGCTCCCTCACCAGATTCATACTCGGCAGTAGTAGTAGTAGTAATCTTTATTTATATACCGCCTTTTCACTGCAGATCTGAGTCTCAAAGCGGTTTACAATTCTTAATTTTGGGCATTTGTCTCTCACTCCACACAGAGATGGGAGAAGGGTCACCAGTACAGGAGGCGCATGCTAGAACTATTGGACATATTTTTAGTGGTAGGGGAAACCGGAGTACCCGGAGGAAACCTACGCAGACACAGGGAGAACATGCAAACTCCACTCAGAAAGGCCCTGGTCCGACCGGGATTCGAACCCAGGACCTTCTTGCTGAGAGGCGAGAGTGCTATCCACTCAGCCACCGTGCCGCCCTGGTATTATACTCTCTCAAGCCACAAAACAAAAAAACAAATGAAATCCATCTAACTAGTTTCTTACTCTCAAAGCAGTTTGGTATGACTGTTATGACATGCATTTTTAGATCTACTTTTTAGACCAAAAAGTTAAAAAAGACAGCACCTCCCTCACTCATTCAATCAAATCTCAGCCCAAATGGTCAAATAGTGACTTTACTTTTACAAGACTCTTTCTGTTGGGACAAAAAACTGGTATCGTTTTTGAGAAAATGCTATATTAAAAAGGGGATCTAAGAGACTTTCGTTAAAATGACTTGGATTGTGGCATTCATGGACGATGTGAATATTTATTGATGCCATTTAGTTTAGCTCGAGCCATGTATGAAATATCCTAAAATCTCACATCGCACATGCTTTGGATCCCTGCACCTTAGAGCTTAAACATTTGACCCATGCAGAGCTGTGTGGTTTGTACCTGTGTGGACTCGCAGGTGAACTTTGAGATGGTGTGAGGAGCGGAAAGCTTTCCCACAGTAGGGACAGTCTTTGATGCCTCGTCCACGAACACGCTCCCTGGACAGAGAGGCCATGGAGGACGCCGCACCCAGGCCGTTCTCCCCTGATACAGACAATCACACAGTTAGGGCATTGGAACAGACACAGATTGGGTTTAAATGGCTTGTTTGTATCGTTTTTAGTTAAAACTCAAGCTGGTGGTTTGCATCAGGAATCAGTGCTTAGGAGCTAGTACATGGGTCACAGGCATAACGATTGTAATTGTAATGACTATTATAGACCAGTAGACACAGGCCCTTTAAAGAAAATGACTGATTTGAGAATAGAATGAAAGGGTTGAAACCAAGTTATACCCGTAGATATGTATACGCTGATTCATCTGTTACCTTTATAGCTGGAGAGACTTGAGTGAAACCCAGTCGTCAGCGCTGATTGTTGACCTCCAAGTTTGGCTTCTCCGCTTTGCTGTGATCCACTGCTGCTGCTGCTGCTTCCACCGCTGACCGCCTCACTCATCCCATGTCCCACCACACCTCCACGACTTTTCCCCATGGCATCGTCACCACTGCCCGACTTCATGCCCCTCTGCGCTGCGTGTACTCTGGCATGCACCACTACTTGCTGCAGACTTGGGAAAAGCTTTCCGCAATCGGGACATTCCCAAGAGCCTCCGTTACGCAATGTCTCCTCTCTTTGACCCCCAAGATAACCCCTGACTTGATTCGTAGAGTTACTTCCCGGAGTTCTTTGATTTCGTGGTTGTGGTCTTGTCTGCTGCTGCTGCTGTTGCTGCTGCTGCTGCTGGTGCTGTTGCTGCTGCGCTACGGCAATGCTTCTAGCCACAAGTTGCCACCACGCTGCTTGGTCGTTAGCTTCTGAAACCGCTCCGGGATTATCACTATTCCCAGTCTTTCTTTGTTCCCCTGCATGTCCGCTCATGCTGCTTCCATTCCCCATCTCTGCCACTTGCGCAACAGCTTGTAGCCTTTCCATACAGCTTCCTCCACTACCGTCGTTCGGCAAGCCAAGGTATCCCAAAATGGCTGATTTACTCGCACCCATTCCGATCCTGCTTTCTCTATCTGCCCGTCCTCTTCCGCCTCCACGCTGCGCAAGAAGTAAACTGGAATAAAGTGCGTTTAGCTGGTTGCTTTGCGCATTTTTAGCTAGTTGTTCTGCGTTTGCAGCTGCTCCTGGTGATCCAGCAAGTGCAGACTTAAGCCCGAGTTTGTTGAGATGGACTTTCATGTGATTTTTAAGGAACCATGGCTCTTTGAAACCACGTCCGCATACTTGGCATTTGTGGTCCAGGGAGTCTTTGTGCTTCCGCATGTGTCCCTTCAAAAACCAGGACTGGGTGAAGCGCTGTCCGCAAGTTTCACATTGGAAAGCCGGCACTGCAGGTGAGGTCGCGCCCGCTGGTGAAGCTACCGTTTGGCTTGGCGCAGGAGTGTGCGAAGGAGTTGGAACAGGTGTTTCCGGGCTTGCAATAATCGGTTTAGGCATATAAACCGGAGGGGGTTCACGTACTGGGTGACTTTCCTGCAAATGCAATGCTAGAATCTCTTCTTGACTTGCGGAGAAGGGACACAGAGTGCATTTGTAAGGGTTATGGAGAATTCTGACATGTCGTGCCAGCTCAGAAGCTGTGCGAAATTTACCTTTGCAAGCGTGGCAGCGAAACGTAGGGGCTATTGCAGTTGAAGCAGCCTCTCCAATTTGAATAGAGGAATATGGAGAGGTGATGTGGTCTTCCGTCAATGGAGGTGTGAGAGGCGTGTTTACGTCCAACAGAAAAGTATGATTGGATTCTGATTGTAGCCCCTCCAACTCCTTGATATCCGCCTCATCGTCTTGCATCAAATGGACAACATTCGGTGGCAGTAAACGCTGATTTGATTGACTCCTGTGCTTTGATTCTTTGTGGATTTGCTGAACTTTGAGGTGCTGTTTTAGTGGCGCACAAGGCAACCCGCTCCGGTAGATTGTAGAAGCCCGTCGGTCCAACGCATGCGCCCGTGCATGTAGCGACAAAATGCTCTGAAATCTAAACCTCTTCCCGCAAACATTACACGGAAATCTCAACGCAGGACTCGAAGCCGACGACGCTGCGAGCCCTGAATGCTTTGTTGCCACGCTGTCCTTTTGGAATAGCTGAAGATCGAGTTCGTCCGGGATCTTTTGCCCGGAAGAAAGCGCAATTTCCAGAGCTCCAAAGCCGAGGGGAGGAGCGGACGGAGTGGCTGGGGGCGAGGAGTCCAAAATAGGGCTGTGGACAGTCTCTTGTCCAGCCCCTGATCCTGGAAATAATGCCACTGCAGGAGTGGGAGAGGCTGGAATACCATCCAGGCTTTCTTCATTTTCGTCGCAGTCCCGGTGGATTTCATCTTGGTCGAGCGCGTAAGGGGATAGAGGGAAAGATGGCGTTGTGCTGGGGCTCTGGGGGGACGGTTCAGAGCTGTGGAGAGGCAAGGCGTTAGGGCTGTCTGGTGGAGACGTCTGAGCCTGCGGGCTGTTGTCCAGTGACGGCAAAATGGGAGGAGACTGGGGGAGATCATGGGAGAGGGACAGGAGATACTCGGGCGGAGAATCCATCCTCTGTCAAAACAAACGGACACAATAAAGAAGATGGAAATTTTTTCAGCCATTATAAAATACAACGGTACAGATGAATCATACTCTTTCTATTTCCAGTTGATGTATTGAGCAGTGCTCTGGGACATGTTCTTTGTATTATATAACTGTGCTTTAAACATCTCCCCAACGTCATCCCTGACCTCCACAGTGCGTTTCTTGGAGTTAGTAATGCTGTTTAGTGATCAATCTTCTCCTATCCGATGTCCAAGGCCATCACAGAATCGCTTTGATCATACAGAGGTTAGAATACGCTCAGGTGGATTCTGCTTAAGTGTCATCGGGAAACTTCTAATTCTGAAAAATAGGGTTTGACTTTTTTTTCAAGTTTTCTTTATTTTAAATTGCAAAGTGAGCTAAACCACTTTGAAGTTTAAAAACAAGAAAGATTCCACCGGTCATCTGGACCCTGTTTTTTTTTTTCTATTCCAAATCTTGTGTATTCAATCTGAAAGTCATTTGCAATTGTGTTAAATTGTTGAATGACCTTTTGGATGGAATAGAAAAGGACTGATTCCAGATGACTATCTTTGAAACTCTTTCCACTTGAGCCATGAGCTAATCATCTCCCTGTGTTAAAATATAGAAGTGTTTGCATAGAAGTTCCTTTACGATATGCCACGCCAATTGTGGTTTTTTTGTGTGTGTGTAAAATTCTTGTGTGTAAAATAGGTGAAAATGTCCAGGTGAAAAAAACATGCACGTAAAGTACACTACAGTACAATACATGTTATCATGGATGTATTGGAAACATTGGCCTAAATGTGGACTGTGTTAATAAATAAAAGAAAATAATTTATTCCTAATTAGAATGTTTCTGAACCAAATATAATTCTCAGATATTACACGGACTAGGTTAAAATATGCAGTGACAATTTGATATATTGACACTCACAGTTGTTTTGAGCTCCTGAGACAAAACACACCCCCAGGCTTGTTTTAACAAGCAAAAAACATTATAACACGGGAAAAAATATCACAAAACCGCGCTTAGCATAGTATTGGCCCTTTAAATGTGCGAAAAGGTTATATTTGCATGTGCATAATTAGTCCCCTTCATAAGCGACCTTGACCAAGATGGGAGATAGCCAGGAAAAAGCATAATAACAAGCAATGCAATTAGAGTGCTTTTGTTACGGGCCGAAAATAAATAATTACCGTCAGCTCGTGTGATGTTATGCCATTCTTCAGCGGCTGGGATCTGGAGGGACACACTGCAGCAGACACCTCCTTTCTGCAACAAGATAACACAAAAATCAACATACAAAGGTCTAACGTTCAAGGCAATTTTTTGTCTTTTTTACGAGCATTTGATACTTAGGGTTGGTGTTTAAAACTCGTGGTATACACCTTGGAAATGGGGCTACTGCTGTCAATACTGTTTATAGATAAAGGCAAATAACTGTGTCATCCCTGTGATGATTATCAGTTTGATGAAAAATAAAAAAGAGAATGCAGACAATTAATTCAGGACAGATCAATTCAATCAATCGCTAAAAAGTACAGACACAAGGAGAAACATGAAAAAATCTTCCCAAAAAGTATCTTAAGTGTTGAAAAAGTTGTACCTTTGACACATTGACACAGTTACATCAGAAGGAAATTACCAGAAAAACTGTAACTTTAATTAGAATGGGGAACAAACTTATTGTGGACGTTGGCGACCGCTTCAAGCCTCAGCAGCTTTGCGTCTTCTACAGACGCAAAGATACTGTTTTTACCTTATATTAAGTTTAAAAATTCATTGTATTTTTTTCTAAGAAATATTCATATAATGGTATAATGTAGTTTAATTGTTTCAAAAGCCATGCTTAAAATGTCTATACATGTACTGCCAATAAAATGCATCTTTATTTGAACTTTACACGATTGCTTCAGTAAGGGAGTCATTGCAATACTTCTACTTTCAGCAGAAAATTTGCACGTTCCACAAAGTCCAACTAGATCTCACTCTTAATGCAGCTAAAATAAATCTGTCTTACAAGACTTACGGGCCAGATCTACACTGCAAAAAATGATAAAAATATGAGGCAATAATTGCTTAAATAGTAGTTTGTATCCTAATTTGAGCACATTCTTACTGTCTTAAAACCAGATTTGCCAATGAGACAAGAAAACTCAAGAACTGACTTTTATTATTTTCTCATTCCAAGGTAGACATTTCGTGGATCTTTTAAAAACAATATAATTTTGCACGTCCCGTTGGAAAATCATGTTTTATGGCAGTCAAAATGTGCTCAAATTAAGATACATTTTGCCAAATTTGAGCAAACTTATTTATCACTTTTTGCAGTGTTTGAAAAATCTATTTTTCGATGAGAAATAGATACAGAGCATGTTCGTAGTCAGAATGTTTTTTTTGTTTTTTTTTAACTACTCCAGAAGACTATGTTACACCCACGAACATGAGCTACAATGAACAGAAGAAAGCACCAAAAAACCTCAATATGTAGAAGTCTGTTGCCAATTAAAATATTTTCAACTTTACTCAGACCCACTGCAAAAAGAGACAGGAAACAAAATAGTTGAAACTATCCCAAAATAGTACACATTATTGAGTTGCTATAGAAGTCATCAGGGCAGGATTATGGACAAGAACTACAATGAAACACAATTTATTTCTATTACAGTCGTCTCAAAATGTCCGAGGATTAAAGCGTCAGTCTCTCGCTGGCAAATATTGAAACAACAATAATTAAGTACAACTACTGCTTACAATTGGTAGGCTCACCGGAGAAGCGACCTTAATGATTTGTTTGTGCTTGTTGGTTTGGTAACAGGATGAGGCGCGGGGAGGTGGTCTTAAACGCATCTCGCTAATGGCACACAATGATTACGCCTTCATTTGAATATGTTTGAGCGGCACAGGTACAAAGCCCATCTTTATTTCATCTCCAGCACCTGTTCCACCTCCTGTCAGCGTCTGGGCTCTCCAACATATGGGGCCATTAGAGCCGAGTCTGGAGATGAAGCGGTAGTAGTAGTAGTAGTAGTAAGTAGTTGTAGTAGTAGTAGGGAAGCAAGGTGGGATTCTCTGGCAATAAAACCAGGCCAACCGTGAGGCATAACTTTTTTTCTCAATAAGATAAGATAAGATAAGAGTTCCTTTATTCGTCCCGGATAACTCCGGGCTAGGATAAAAAAAAAAAAAATGTATTGGGTTTATGCAGGGTGAGCACTAGCAGGTTGGTCATAGACGGTTACGAAGTTTTTGAGAATTCTGTCCTCAATTATTCCAAAGAGTTTGCTTATTAATGTCCTATTGTACACACAAAGAGTATTGGGTTGTAGTAATGTCATTGTTACGTGTGTGGTATGATGTGGGATTTTTATGAGCTGGTGAGATACAGCATACATAAACTGCCCTTTTATTGTCCATAACAATAAAAAAACAGAATGTCCTGAAACCTAACCCGACAAACGTTACACCCTGGCTAGCTCGCCACATGCGGCCTCTTGTGTTATTGTATTCTGTCCCTCTGCATTGCTAACACAGACTAGCTATTGAGGAACATGTGTACCAAATGTCATGGCTCTACGACAAAGTTGACCTCGAACCCTCCCATAGGGGTAATAAATTGGCTGTTGTAGGTGGCGCTGTTCTGGCATTTTTGTAGTCCCATAAAAATAAACACCAAAGTAATTAATTTTTCGCCAGGTCTGATTTTTGGGCAAAATGTAACAAGTTTTTACGCATGTTCAGGGGGTCAAATTATGGCTCAAAGAGCAGAAGAAAAAAGAAAGAAAGAAATAAACCACAGAATTTTTTCCAGTCTCAGAGCAAAAACAATATAGGTTTCAATGGCACATGATACATCATTTTAAAGGGTTTGAGTTTACGCACGCAACCGTCAAGTGTTGGTGAGTGACGGGCGCTGACGCGTCCGTCAAGCACCGCCACCATTTGCATTCACCATTGTGAAAGCAATAGGCCCTTACCCCGTTCGGGGCTCGGGCCTAAAAATACTCCCTTCAGCATTGACACACATCTGGAACGCAGCATTTGGGCAAGAGCCGACTTTTGGACCATCCTGAAAAGCTGTTTTTTTTAAAGGATAAAAGACGCCATTGGAATTATATGGCTATTTCTGTTTTGCCACCACCGGCAAGGAGTGAGATTGCAAGCATGTCAGCGCACATGCTCATGGACCTTTTTGAGCTGGGACCCGCCCCCACTGCTTGACACCCTGCGGCCTATACGACGATGTGTGTCAATGTATATATTTTAATTGCGGTACGGTTGGGCTTTGGTTTGAAGGCTGTCTTAATTACCGCTATACTTTGTCGGAATGTTCCCACTCCTCCCGCCGCCTGGGCGAGAAGGCAACCCAAGGTTTTTTTTGGTTGAAAAATGGAGAAGCAGCGTTATTTATCTCTTAGCCAGAAGCTCTGTTGTCTTTCCTCACAGAATGCCTCAACATATGGTCCTTTCAGAGCAGCGTGTGGATAGCAGTAGTCATAGTAATATAGTACCCAGCTTGTGCCTAACATATGGACCCATTACCTGCACAGTGAACGCCTGTCGGTCATATGTGTGTGTTTAGATTTTTAAAGGCCTTTAATCCACAAGTGTCCCAAAACAGGATGGGCGCGATGTCGGTACTTCCCACACACCCTTCCTGTGCATAACCGGAGCAGCTGACTGTTCTATGAGCATTAAGGGATGTAAATAATGCCAATAAACACACGCCTGTAATCCTGATCCCCCAGTGGGTTTCCAAGAAGGATTAAGAAAATGGAGAGATCTGGTAATGAACCATCAACAGATAAATGAATACAAAAAATACTGCTGACAACTACTTTAAAAGGCAGTTATTTTCTGTGTGTACTGAAAAAATGAGTCAATGTTAAATTACAGTGTGCTGTTGGAGCAAATGTGGAGCACTTAAACAAGTAAATGGACTTGAGCCTACTTTAGCAGAACATGGTCCCTCAATAGCAGTTTTGGGCAATTATTTTCTCTGCGGGGATATTTGGGATACGAGTACATTGTGGATGGCCAGACTCGCTTTCTTGTGGTTTTCATTTAATGTAATTTGGACATATTTGAATATTTAGTGTAAGCAACTCCTATTGAAAATGCAAAAAATATACGGTATATATATTTGAGGAACAAAAATAAGTAAACCTGAAATGCTTTATTTGTGTTAAAGTGTGTTAGCTGATACTTTGCATCCATGCCTTGTGGAGTAAATATGGATGAATATATTGTTTTTCTATTTCATGTTTTGTCATGTTTTGCTTGGAAGCAAAGCTGGACAAAAGCTAAAGAAGGCTAAGTAGTGTGGACTGATGAAAGTTTTTGAAGAAGTATTATGTGTTTCATGCCATTGTAGCACTCAGGAAGTTGCAAAACTTCATTGCGTAGTGATTCCCATTCAAGAAATTGTCCAAGAGCCCCATTGAAACTTGAATTGGGTCATACAGTATGTGCACTTTAGGGCAAGTTTAGACTGAAATAAATACTGAATTTGACTTGTTTGGTCACTTCACATATTACAGCTCATGTCATTGGCAAGAATGTTTAGGAAGCTCTGATTGAAGAGTGAAAAAACAGTGTCCAAACCGTACAGAGAGAGTTATCTATTACTATACAACTGTAACGGCCTGCTCAGCTCACGGCTGTAGGTCGAGTCCTGACTAGAAGCAGGACATACGGTCACATTAGTCCAGTTCTCAGGTCTCTGCACTGGCTTCCTGTGGCTCAGAGAACAGACTTAAAGCAGCTCTGCTAAGTCTGTCTATGGGCTCGCACCAAATGTGATTACGTGAGGGAATGTGTCAGATGGTAAGGAATTAACTTTGACTGCTATAAACAGTTTAAAATTAACTATGTGTGTGGGTTTTTGTTCTTGTTTATTTTACAGTTCTATAACATGGAACAAACTGGGACACTTTCAGCCTTAAGTTCATCACCAGGGCAGCTGTGGCTATGGCTGACCAGCACAGACTGTAGTAGGTTGTAGAGTGAATGAATAATCATATAGCGAAGCACTTTGAGAGGCTTCAACAAGCAAGTATATATAGAAACCCTGGTGAGAAAGCCTGGAGTCGCTAATTAAAAGCATCTTAAATCAAAATGACCATTTGATATTCTTCATTGCACTTCAAACTAATAACAACTTCCAACATTCCACTGGTAAAAGCACATATTTCACATAGTTTTGAGGTGCATTGCATCAGTGTGTGGTTTACGGCTGCTCTCTGCTCGCTCACCGGAATAAAAATACTCTTTCACTTTTACAGAGTTATGTGACATGAAAATATATGCAGCGTATGGACACGGAACATTCAGACATTTGTGAACACTGCAAATCTGCGAAAAACCTGTGAATAAAAACATACAACACCAGACCATGAATGAATCACAACTGTTTCTTCTTGTTGCTTTTTTTTTAAATACGTAAATAATTCAAAAATGTAATCGGTCCATAATTTGACTGGGGGCTACAGTGGCTGAAAATTTGGTTTCGAGCCCACCACGAGACATTCTTCACTGACTCCCACTGATGTCTGCTGTCGTGTCCTTGAGCAAGACACTTAACCCCACTGATCCTCCTGTGGATCAGTGAGGGGCTGGTGCTCTGTGGATTGGGTGGTATCTCTGACTGGATGGATGGATGGATAATATTACTGCACATTAAGCCGTTTTTTCTTCTTTTTTTTCAACTAAAATAACACGTTTACATTTTGGTCATTATACATATAGAGTACAGTACTTGGTGGATTATTAAGGGCACCTGTATGTAAACCGCACCAGCTCCATTTGAAGAGAAAGCATACTGTACATTTCCCACATACAGGCCAGACTTAACAAATGAACGCACTGTTGACTCGTGATCATCAAAGCACTCCAATAATAAGTCCATACATTGCTCTGACAACAGCTCTAATCACATATAAAAATAAATCCTGCGTATTTCCCCAACACTTCCTCATGTGAGCCCTCTCTGCTGTTCACATTAACACAGTGAAGCAGGAATGTGTGCTGCGTCAGCTGACAGAGCTGTGTATAAACCCATTTCTGAACCCCAGGGGGAGCTACAGACCACAAAAAAAGTTGCGGCTAAGTCCAGGCAAATACGGTACATTTATTTGACATAAATTTAGATCTTTTCATAGAGGTGATCACAAATGACCCATCGGGGGAGCTTGCCTGTGCATCAACCAACTAAATTATTTTGGTCCATTTCAGAAGCAGCAGTGTTAGCATGGCTGGGTCTAGCCGGTGCTTGCATTTGAAAATCCCACTTTACAATTTGACTTGAAGTAGAAAACATACCAATATATTGATATTATATGGACAACATGTACAAAAACTAGAATAAAAGATGGCCTGAATGACCAACACTTCCATAGTGATAGAACTGATTATATATATATTATTATATGTTATATTCTGCTGGATTTAGACCTTATTCAAATCTGCCATTGTCTTTTTGTCTAAAACGTCAGAGGATTTTCTGTAGTTGCCATGGACTAGTTTGGAAAAAAGACCACTGAGCAGCAGGAGTGATATGTGTCAAAAATTCCTGATATTAGCATGGATGGAGATAAAAATAAGTGCGGGTTTGTGTTTGATGAAGGTACAATGTTGAAATATCCACTTTCTAGACAACTCCTGATTTGGAACTTGCTCCCTCTTTTGCTTCAAATCTAAATGATTTTGGTCGGATTTAAAACCAAAAATGTTAACGTTTTGTCACATATACTTTCAAATCAACTCAAATAAATCTTCTCAGACAAACTCAATCCACCCAAACTCCTCAGAACGACTCAAAACGGCGTCCATTTTCAATTCTCTTCCCCCACTGTGATCTACTGTAATTAATTGTTTTCTCTCTCTTTCCCCCTCATCTGCCATTTTGTTTTGCGAGAGACAAACAACCGTAAAAGGTCATCAATCACCGTGGCAACACAATGGAACATCTGTGAGGCA